AGTTTGTATTCTCTATTTGTCCTACATCTTACAGAATATCACTTTTTGTTTATTTATGATTTATTATGGTGTATAATTGAACATTTAGTATTTATTTAGAGTTAATAAATTTTAATGGAAGGTCTTTGTTAGTTCCAGGACCTCAGAATGTACAACCACACAGTGGAGATTTTAACTTTTTGCTTTTTCTCATGGGATGGATGGTACTGGCATTGGCATTGTATTTTCTTCGACCAAAATCTTTGAAAAATAGAGGCGATACGAAACCTTCTAATCAGGTATGAATTATATATATATATATATATAAATGTATTAATGTAAAAATTAAAATGTTTTATTTAAATATAATTAAAGATATTTTATAAATTATTAAACAGAATTGAATTATAAAATATTAAAATATTAAATATTATAGAAAAATACTATATTTTCTATTCTAAATATCTAAATATTAATAATGAAATGATTGAGAATTTTATTTTATTTGATATATATAGAAAAATTAAATAAGACCTAGCATGCAGTACAGGTTTTAGTTGAGTAACTTTTTAGTTGAAAAAAAAGGAACACATTTATTTGAATGTGAGAACTTGCACTGGCAATTTTTTAATCACAGTAAAAAAATTACAGTATGCTCTATTTTTCAAGCATTGAAACTTGTTTTTTAAAATAGAACAAAGACAATTCAACTAGACAGTGCATTAGCAATTGTTTAGTTGCTGACTCACTGATAAGTCATTATTTAAACAATCATGCACAATCATATTCTCACTTATTCTAGATCCAGCTACTACTAATAAATTGTAAAGCTCTCTTTGGTCTTTCTAAAATAATTGAAAAACTCTCTGTTGTATTTCTTCAAATTGTTTTACAGTTTGCGTAAAATTCACCATTTAATTAACAACCTCAAACTTATTATTGGATGACTCCAAAATTTATAGGTTTTAGGTTCAGGTGATTCTTTTGTCCCCTGATTTTTTTAACCATGCAACTTTTAAATAGTTATTATGTACTCTGTCTAAAAACTACTATAGAATTGAATCCTTGTCCAAAGTTATTTAGGAAATAAGACTGAAAATTCAAAAATAGATTCACTGATAATCTCAATATAAATTTTTAAATCACAAAAAGTTTTTTTTTACAAACAAAAAGGGTGACATATCATATATAATAAATAATCTTGATTACTAAAGCACTAATTATATATTTAAAATATTAATTAATATCTTTTTGAATTTTAATAAATAGTCTATTAAATTTTTACAGCTTCGCAATTCTCAGGGTTATTGTA